ATATTGTATATTACCATTCAAAATATTAATACAAAAAAACAATATAAGAAAAATTATTAAGTGCATATTAATTTAATGATTGAAAAATACATCAAATGATAATTTTTTATAGCTTTTAAAATGAAAATTATTTAAAATTAGTATAATTTTATAAAAATTAAATTATTTAACAGTTTTTAATAATTTATTTTAAATTAGAACTGATAATTATATAAATTACTCTTTAATTATTTCTATACCTTTATGTGGACCATTAAAGGATGAAATTTAATATAATATGTATATTTGAATAAAAATTAAGTTATCTATTAAAGAGATATATATAGAATAAACATAAAAATATAATCAAATAGAATGATGATTAAAATAATTGAACAGATCTTAAATGATTTAGTAAGCAAATGGTTTGATTCTGTTAATATTAGAATTTAATTGTTCTGGTGTAATATTAGCTAAGTTTGCAATTAACTTCATATTGATCCCACCTTATTTTAGATATATGATATCAGTGGCTATTTTTACTACGATAGCATTTTAAACAGGTTTAGGTAATTTTTAAATGAGAGGCTACATTTACCTTTAGAGAGTAAGACAAACAGTAGTTGCTTTTGAATCTATTTTGAGTTTTTGACATAGAGTTGTAATCAAGGTTGAATGTTGTTATTAAATACATTTAGCCAAGTAATGTAGTTTTTCATCAGTTTAAGGTAATTTATATTGTAACTCTTTCATAGCATAATAGACTATGGCTTATGCATGCATATATGTATTGGGAATTGATAAAACATTAAAGATGGAGATTGATTTTTTTTCTACTTCTGCATCGAGATTCATTTTGAAAACAATGTCGGAAATCAATTCGTACATATCTTAATTTCTTTTGGGAGTATTGCATTCTTCATGAAATTTGGGAACAGGAGGTCTTTTATGCATGTTTATTTAATTAATTGACTTATATTTGGTTTTGAAAATCAGTTTATTTGAGTCTATTAGTATAAATAAATTTGAATTGATTAATTAATATAATATATTTTATATGATGTCATAAGAATACATTCCAAACAATAACAACACCATCTTATGCACCTGAAATAACTTATTTTCCATCTGGAGCAAATTATACAGTATTGACTGGTCCAGAATGTCCAAATCCTTCTGATATTTATTATCCAGTTTATAAATCCCATAATTTAACTGAACAATTAGATCCTCCTGTAACAGCATATTTAAAATTAGGTGAAAGACAAATTGAATAACATTCATCACCTAAAATTATAATAAAATCTAACCTTTTTTTGGATTTCCACTTGTTTCAAATTATCTTTATACTTCACTTTAATTAAGATCCCAAAGTGATATTTTTCTATCTTAACCAGTACTAAAAACAACTGTTGTATTAGGAACAGTATCAAAAGAATTAATACCACCCATTCTTTATATATGAGCACTAATTCTTTTTTCAGATTTCAAATCCCATTATAATAAGGCTCTATCACGAGATGAAGTAAGTAATTATGTTTCATTAGCAATCAATTTAACTTTAGTAACTTTATGTGTATGTTCTTTTAAATGTGATACCATTTCTCTAGTTCTCATTTCCCAAACTCTAACATCTCCTTCTCCTCCACCACTACAAAAGAATTTCAAATTATTTGATATACAAAGTGTAGTCACTCCTGTTTTATGAGCATTATCAATCTACCAAATTTATTAACCATTATCAGATCTAAACATTCTAATCTTACCATCAGCCCATCCACTTAATAATACTTCATCTCTATAAACTAAACTTAATGGAACAACATTCACATTAGCTTAACATTTAGCAATTACAAAATATTCACTAATATCCCAAAGTCTAATAGTTCCATCTTCTGATGCTGAAGCAAATCTATCAGAAACTCCTGGAGGATAACTCATATCTAATATTGATCCAGTATGATTTTCACTATGTAATCCTTTCTAAAAATTGTTTGTATTAAATCTAAAAATCAAACCTCTATCTGTTGATATCAAACTCTCTAAACCATCTACTCTTACTGTAATTGAATTAACTGCTCCCCCTAAATCAGTTTTGTGTAATTAATTTATCTAATTTACAATAATAATATACTTTATTATCTTCTGTAATTTAATACATTGCTAAAGTACCATTACCTGCTCCAACTATAAATCTTGTAAAATCTACAAATCTTATTGACATTACTCCCAATGCAGCAACTACAATTTAATGACTAAAAAATCTATTTAATTAATATATTTAATTTAATTACTTATTTTTCATCTAAAAAACACAAAAATCTCCTGATGTTGTTCCTAATAAAAGATATTCTTCTCTATTTTTTGAAAATTCCATACAAATATAATCTCTTACTAAATTACCTGTATTAATTATTTCTTTCTCAAATACTCCTAATTTTGCATCCAATTTCCATAAACATATTTATTTATTTCCAGATGTTGCAAATTGATATTTTGGTGTATCTCTACCTTTTATATCTTTAGCAAATCCACCCCATCTTGCTATTGTTGTTGGTTCAGGTGTATGATTTACTGATCCTACAATATATCCTGTTTAACAATCCCAAATGAATATTCTTTTATCCATTGGATTACCTGATGAAAAGAGTAATCTATCATCATGACTAAAATCAACACATACTACTTCATAATCATGTTCTGATAATCTATATTTTTGAATTTTTCTATGATAATCCCATATAATAACATCAGAATTGTCTCCCTTCTATCCTGATGCAACTAATTCACCTCTATTTGAAACTGCTAAACATGTGATTTAATCATCATGTCCTTATAAAAATGATTATTTATGAGCATCTCTTAAATCAGTTATTATTAAAGATGCTCCAGCTATACAAATGAATTCCTCTCCATTTGGATGCAATATCACACTTCGAGGTATCTTATATTTATATTCAATTTTACTCTTCCACTATATCCTATTGCATGTTCCATCTCAAGAATATCTGCAGAAGGTTGTTTCATTTTTTTATATATAATATATTAAATATCATTCTCATTCAATATTCAATTAATTCATATAACTTATCCCATGCCTAACTTTTACATTTTGCATAAATGTGTAATTGGACAATCTCATAATATTTATCTCTTTTTATATTCACTATAGAACCTTCCTTTTAATCAAAAGGTAAATATAAGAATATCCCTTAACCTGTTTTCTTTTAATCCTAATGAGGAATCTTAATCAAATCAAAGTTAAGTGGATTTCCCATATTTTTTTAATACCTATTAGTCATATTAATTAATACCATTAATAAAATTGATACCTTGATCTACTTTATACAAATTCTGGATTAAATAATTATTATACATTAATCTAATTAAATAATTATCTAATCCAATCAACAACTACTGATAATACAAATTCACTATCAATATATATTGCTCCAATCAAAGCCAAAAATGCATTCCTTAACATAATAGAATTCTAATTATGAGGTAGAGAACTAACATGAAAAGTAATAGATTAATCTTTGCTCTTTTCATTTAGATCTACAAAATCTTATAATTATTTCTAGAAACTGTTATTTAAAAATTAATGAATTCTTAATTTTATTGCAGCATAAGACAAAAATGAAATCCCTTTTAGAATTTTATTTAAAGTCATAAAAGATAAAGTGTCTATTATTTAATCTACAATATAAATACCTAAATTCTATTCAATTAATATCTTTGATAATGCATAATCCCATAATGATTTACCAAGAATTGCTAATTAAGAGTTCTAATAGCTATTTTAAGCTATACTATTCATAAAATCAATTTATTTAATCTACTCTTATAATTCTTATTCAGACATTTATCCTTAAAACTCATCTTTCGTTGAGAACTTCTACATATACTATTACTGAACTTCATTATTTATAATCATCTTAAAACTAACATCAGTCAATGCTTAAAATAATAATTCAAAGCTATTAAATTAATATTTTATTATTTCTTCAAATTTACTATAAATACATTTTAACTATCCAAATTTTTAATTGTTCCAAATCTATTGAGGATATAAAAATTTTAAATCTTTTTATGAACCCTTTTATTTTTCTAATTTTTTTGTTAAATTAAGAATTCTGATCCAATCAAAACCCTAGATTTATTAATAATCTTCTTTTTCAATCATTGATAATGATTACTCTAAAAATTATTTAAAATCTATGTTAGAAATCTTTACTGTATTTTATAACTATTTCATATCTCTTTAGTTATGAGAAGATTCTAAAAAATCTACATTTTATTATTATTATAATAATAAATCATAATTACTATCTAATCTTTCAATTCCAATTAAAGTCTTTGATATATCGATTATATCATAATTATGTAAAAATAAAAATAAATATGACTCCATTAAACAATTTCTAATGTATGTACTACTATTAAAGTGTTTAATAGTTTGTTCTAAAATTTTAAAATCTAATGTAGGATAATTTAATAATAATTAAATTGTAATTAAAAATTTATAATAAGATTAACCTAACATTAGATTTTCTGATTTATATGAAGATACATTTAATGAATTTAATATTATTTAATCTAATTTATCTAAAAATAATCCATTATTATTTATTATTTTTTCTACTTGCTAAATCCTTTAAATGCGTTTATGTTCTTAATTTTATACTTTTAAATTTAATATAATAGGAGTTATTTAATTGTAAAATTGATTTAAATTGTTTAAAATATAATTTGGAGTGATATCGAATTAAATTGTATCTTCTAAATCTTGTTTAATTTTTAATTTTGGTTCAATGATTTATTTAAATAAATTTGATTTTAATACTAAAAGAAATTAATTAATAATGAAATGTGTTTTAGTTTTTTTACCTTTATTTTAATTATTTAATATCATTAATCCATTTTTTTCATTTTTACTCTTTATTTTGAATAACAATTCTATAATAATATAATAGTTTATTACCTGAACCTACTCTACCAAAAAGGTTTTCACCCATTTATATTAAATCCTCTTCAAATATAATTGATTCTATATATTTTTAATAATATTCATAATAATTATCTTTGGATATTGTTTGTTCTTCACCTAAATTAATATCAAGCATTTTTAATAACATCTCACATTATTTTAATTTTTCTTTAAATTATTAAGGGTATAGTAATTAGATATTTTAATTTTAAAATTTGCATTCCTATTTAATAAAATTGATTTCTTGCTTCTAAATAACAAGCAATTACTTTTAATATGTTTGAAAGTATTTCTCTTCTTTAACCATCCCTTTTAAAATAGATATATATTTTTATCTAATAGTTATACAATATTTGGAATGGATATTTAATTACTCTTATGTCTACAAAAGTTAATAAACTTCTTTACCATTATAATCGAAGGATCTACCTAATCTGCTCCAATGTTTTATCCTATATGATTCTATATATATGAATTAAGATGACAGTCAAAATAGCCTTTTTTATATAACTAAATGGCAGCTTAAAAAGCAACAGAAGCTTTTGCTTCTTTAATGCCTTAAGTTTTGCTACCATAAAAAATAATATTCTAAACTTAATTAGGAAGTAGTAAAAAGGCAATATATTAATCACTTTGTTTTTGATTACCATATTTTAATTAATAAATAGCATATTTTGAGACAGTTTTACCTTTTTTTTCTAAATAAATTTATTGATTAAAATATTCAATCAAATTACAAGCCCAATTTGTATTTAATAAGGCTCCACTTTTTTGTATATTATAACACTCATAATACATATTTTGGATGGCCTTGCTTTCTTTATATCAATGAATAAATACATAAATTATCAATTGCCTTTTGTAAAATAAGTTCTCTTTAAGGAATTGTAAATTCATTTATAATTTTTTCAACTTTTTGAGGATTATAGAAGTTGTTTTAATTATTGGATTAAGATTTTTATTTTAAATCTGTATTATCGACCTTCAATATTATGATTAGTAATATTTTATCTTTCATTTAACAATTTAGTTAATTATAAATGGAATGAGGTATAGGATTAAAACAAATTAATTAGTGAAAACTTAATGCAAAGTTTACATCTAATTAAGTTGTTATAACAATCTAACAATCATTCAATTCATTCTCTTATGCAGATTGATAAATTAATTAATCTAAATTAAAAAACTAATTTAACTAAATCAATTAATTTTTTAATTCAAAAAATGAGAACTAAAGTTAATCTCTTTAAAGATCCTAATAGATTTCTAAATAAATATTAGTTAAATCAGTTTAAGCTCTTTTTAAATCTAATTCATCTCTAATTTTCTAAAAAATTCCAATTTTTAAATCTATATTTATATAAATCAACAATACCTTATGATATAACTTTAGAGTAAGATTACAATGATTTTAAGAGAAAATATGCCAAGGATTATTTTTTTACATAAATAAGAATACGATTATTAGGAATTTTAGAATTTTTATAACTCTATATGAGAAGGTCTTAAAGTAGTTTAAATTTAGGGGATAATGAATTTTATTATTAATTTTATTTAGAATTGACCAGAGAGACCAGAGATTTTTCCAAAACAAGTAAAAATTCATGATAAATAGGATCAACTTATTTAGAATTTATATATTCTTTAAATTTTTCAATTATAAATTGAAGTATCAAACCTAAAATGTAATTAATTATTAATACAAAATGGTTATTAACCAATATCAAAATACGAGGTTAAAGTATGTTTTAGCAATAATTATTGAAAATAATAAACAATTATTTTAAATGAAAAATGGTTTGGACATTTAGATTTAAATTTAGATAGAATTAATTTAAATTAATTTAACTCTTCAAAAAAGTTATTCTTATTTAGTTTATCAATTAGATAACTATTAAGATTTCTATTTTATATATTACTATCAAGCATATTATGAAATTTATATTCATTAATATAAGATTTGTAAGTAGAGATTATTATTTTTTTTTCATTTATCCGTTATTTAATAGCCTCAATATTAATATTTAAAAAACGGGCATCCATATTAGCACATAATTATACAAGTTCTTTTAGTATTTATTCATCAGCTATAAATTTATTATTTGCATACATAGGATTATATACACCAACAATAATGGGTACCTAAACTTATTATTTTAAAGGAAAATAAAACTCTTTAAAGAGATGGTTATAAGGATTTTCAAAAATAGTGATTTGACAATCATCCATATAAATGAAACTAAAATCTGTAAATTTCCAATATCCTCTTCTTAAAGAATTCACAAAAATTTCACTTGTCATAACATAAATATGGTTTTCTTGTAACATTATTTACCAAACTAAGTTATTCCACAAATCTGTACATTTATTAGGGTGTATAATTTTTAAAGTATCACAATAATCTTATGCCCTAATTAAAATATTTTAATCATCTATAAATGTTTCAACTAATCTAAGTAACATAGTTTTTATATATTTTCCTAAGATTTCAACTTTCTGAATTGTAGTGGACAAAACTACTACTTTTTTGTTTGGATTTTTATACAAATAATTCCACATTAACATAATAGCTACTTAAGTTTTATAATTCTCTTAATGTAATATACAGTTTCTATTAAGAGCTTTTAAATATAATTCATATTAAATTTCTTAAAATTCTAGATCATCCAATTAATCATCAAAATAATCGTCTTCATTGTTATTAGTTTAAACTCCTAAAATTTCCTCATTATTAGAAATCTAAGCTAGCATTGAATTAACTAACTCTTTGATTGAATTATTTGGCTATTCTTGTTGAAATTGATTTGCCTCAGATATGGAAAGATCAAATATGTTTTGAAATGGATAGTTCATTTAAGTATTTAATTATTGATTAAAGTCTTATTTATCAGATGTTTAAAATTAACTATTAGATTGCTGAATAGGAGTTTAATCAGAAATAAATGTTTAGTTTTAGAATTGTTGCATTTATTTTTAATTAATTATCAAATTATCAAAACCAATACAAATTCAATTTTACTTTAAAGATGAATAGAATAGTCGATTTTATTTTGTTGTTTCTATGACTCTTCTCAGATTTGCTTATATTAAAATAAAATATCTCAATCTTATAATTATAATTAAAAATGGATGAATTTCAGACCTTCTTTTAAAGTTTAGGTGATAAACAAACAATTCCTATTTCTGATGATTATAAAAAGTAATTCAAGATTAGAGGAGAGTTCATATACCCACATAGCAAGAAGTTTGATCAAATTTGTTAAAGGTTTTTCTATAATTTTCATGTTAGTTTTTTGTAAGATGAAAAATTACGTAGCAAAAGAAAATGGGATAATTCCTTTAAACTATTTTTAATATGGTTTCTTGTTAAATATTTTGAGAATTAAAATCAAAATACTATACGACCTGTAATAATTTGAAATAATATATTTTTAGGAGGAGAATGATTGGATTAATTTTGAAAACATTTTGAAAATAGATAAGCATACTTTATAATAAAGATGGATTACCTTAATAAATCCTTAAATGAAATCTACTAATTGGACTTAAGAAGAAGATGATTTTATTAGGAATTAAATGAAGTAAGTTAGGATTACTTATTGTATTATAGTTAAAAAAATAAACATATTTGGACATAAATTGCAGTGTCTCTTTATGAAAGGAATTTATAGGGGAATATTCGAACACCAAAATAAATTAGAGAAAGATGGATGAATTATTTAAATCCTGAATTAAATAAGTAATTTACTATATATATTTTTATAGAGAACAATGGTTGCTCAAAGAAGATTTGATTATTTTAAATAATGTTGTGAAAAATGGAAAGAAATGGTCATAAATTTCATAGTAATTAAATGGAAGAACTGAGAATTAAGTCAAAAATAGGTAATTTAATAATAATAATATTACATAAGATATAAATCATTAATACATAAAATATGCAAGGATGATGAATGTGATGAAATAGAGATGATCAAATAGTATATAAGAAAAAAGTATATTACATATTTAATAAGTAGTTCTTTACATATGGATTCAAATAAATAAGGTATTATTGGTAAAAGGGGAAGACATAAGAAGGGAATGAGAAATAAAGAATAAAAAGCAGAAACTAAAAAATAAAAAAACATACCAAAAATAATAAAATAAGAAGAACAATAATCCCAGTAATCTATCGTTTAATAAGCACAATAATAAATATATGCATAATCTTAATAATTATAATTGTAATAATAATTATAATAAACTTAATAATTACAATAATTGTAGTAATTATAATAATAAATGAATTTTAATCAAGAAGAAATGAAATTAGCATTAAATTTACAATCAAATTTTAATTAAGATGATATGAAAAATACAACTCCTTTGATGATGTTATAATGTTTAACTTCTCCAGGATATCAATATTTTGAGAATCAATATTTAAGACAATTATCTCCAGGAATGATTGAAGAAGGAGATTGTCTTTAAAATTCATCCTTATAGTTGTCTAAAATTGCTAATGTATATAAGGTTAATTCTACATCTCCCTTCTTATTTGGATCAATGGTACCTTCACCATTTTGGAATAACGATCAATTTGTTTAGTAGAATGAAGAACCATTAGGAATAACAACTAATTAAGCATATGCTCAATAAATTTCCACAACTCCTTATTTGAATCTCAATTATTTTAGATAATAATAGATGAATGGTTTTTCTAAATAGAAGGAATTAGATTTACTATAAGAGAATCCTATATAACAATTCAATAAAAGAAGAAATATTAATTAATAATGAAATGATAATAATAATATATATATATATTTATTAAATTAATAATGATAAAGAACAATAATAATTTAGACGCTCTAAATGTAAGAGAAATAATCCTTAATGTAGGGTTTGAAATATGAATTGTAAATAATTGAGGATCAAAAGACCTAGGAGTTGAAAGATCTGAAATTATTTTTTAAAACTTTATAATAGAAAGTTTGGGATTTAAAGAGAAGAAGTAAATTTCTAATATATCAATTAGATTACAATTAAAAAATATGTTTCATTGATCCTCTCCTTAGGGACTCATTATTATCAATGCAGCATTTAATTGGGCTCAAGGCAGAAGCAATTAGATAATTGGAGGATGAAAAATACAATCAATAGGTTGATCGAGAGAAATTGGGTATTGTAAATAAACATAGAATAGTTGTATTACATAAGTATTAAGAAAGTGGTGTTGAAGTACATCATGCTTACACTAAATACATCCAATCTGAAAATCTAAAAGGCTTAAGAGATTTGCCTCACTCATATAAATTGTTGGAATTAGACCTTGAAATTGAAGTTGAGAGAAAACGCCAATTAAAATTATAGTTGGAGACTCAGAAGAAATAAACCGAGGAACTGTTATAAGAGACTCGCAAAAAACTTGAAGTTGAATTAAAATTTTCTACATATATCAGGAAGCTACATCTTTCCATCATTCGCTGTAGTAAAAAATAGACCAGGAGAAAAACTGAAAAAGCATCCACACGAAGTCCATATATAAACATATTTTATTTTTTTTTATTTTTCTTTATATGGATGGCAATTTGTGTCACCAGTATGATTAATTAAATAATTTTGAAATTAAATGGAAGTGGAAACTTAGAATTTAACATAAGAGGAACTTGAACTCTTCAAATTACTTAAATTAAGAGAACAAGAATTAGAATATTTAGATATTTAAGAATAATATTTGAAAGATGATTAAAAAAGATTGAAAAGAGAATTAGTGAGAAGTAGAGAAGAATTAAAAAGAATCTAAGCAGTCCCATTAACAGTAGGGTATATATTAGAATTAAATAATACATAGTCATTTTAATGAAATGATGAATGAGAATTATGCTTTAATAAATTCTAATGGTGGAGCAACACTATATGTTAGAGTACTCAGTACATTAGATAGAGAAAAATTGAAACCAAATACATCTATTGCTTTACATAGACATTCACATAGTGTTGTTGATATTTTACCCACTGAAACAGATTCTTCAATTCAAATGATGCATGTAACAGGTATTAAATATTAATAATAAAAAGAAAAACCTGATGTAAGTTATTAAGATATTGGTGGGTTGGATTAATAGAAGTAAGAAATCAAAGAAGCTATTGAATTACCATTATCTTGCCCTGAATTATACAAATAAATTGGTATTGATCCACCAAGAGGTGTTTTATTGTATGGTCCTCCTGGTACTGGAAAGACAATGATAGCCAAAGCTGTTGCTCATCATACTACTGCATCATTTATTAGAGTTGTTGGATCAGAATTTGTATAGAAATATTTAGGAGAAGGACCTAGAATGGTTAGAGATGTTTTCAGATTGGCAAGAGAGAATGCTCCTAGTATCATATTCATTGATGAAGTTGACTCTATTGCTACAAAGTATATAAAATATTTATTCAAAATTTTAGACGTTTTGATGCTTAAACAGGAGCAGATAGAGAAGTTTAAAGAATTCTTATTGAATTATTAAATCAAATGGATGGTTTTGATTAAAGTACTAATGTTAAAGTGATTATGGCTACTAATAGACCTGACACACTTGACCCAGCACTTCTCAGACCTGGGTAATTTTAATTTATTTATAATTTTTAGACGTCTTGATAGGAAAATTGAATTCCCTCTTCCTGATAGAAGATAAAAACGATTGATATTCTAAACTGTTACATCAAAAATGAATTTATCAGAGGAAGTTGATTTGGAAGCTTTCATTAATAGACCTGATAAGATTAGTAATGCTGATATTGCCGCCATCTGTTAAGAAGCTGGAATGTAGGCTGTTAGGAAGAATAGATATGTTGTTATACAAAAGGACTTTGATAAAGCCTACAAAATTGTAGTTAGGAAAACTGAGAAAGAGTTTAATTTTTATAAATGAATTATATAATATAGATATATATATACAATTTATCTAATCTTATGGTAATCATTAATTCATTATTAAATCAATAATAAAATTAATATATTATTATATTCATTTATACAATGTCACAATCTAGCGATATAACATAATTGAGTGATAATAACTCACCAGCATAGAAGTCTTCTTTACCACTTGATGTTAATAATATGTTGAAGGCTCAAAAAGATGATGTTCCCATAGGTAAAAACCATCAAGCTATACTCCCTCCCACTCTTCTAAGTAGAAAATAGATTGAATTTAAAAAATTGAATTTATCACATTATAAGATATGGAATACTACTTCTAATGAAGATGTGTAAAGGATTAATGAAATATACAAATAATTCCGTAGGAAATTTGGAAGAAATGCTTAGCATTTAGATGAGTTCTACACTTTAATAAGTCGAACAAATTAAGATTTGGAATTAGTTTAATAGTTAATCTTATTTGAAGATAAATTTCTCTAAAAATATATCTAAACGAGAAGTTCTTTATTAAAATGTGATTGATATTTATATGCTTTCATTTCATTTCAAGAAATACTCATATTTTATATTTGAAAATCTAATATTTATTATTATTTATGAACATCATCTGTGACTTACATCCATAACTTATCAATATTCTATAAAAACACAACAATAAAAACATATTTTTCCTGTAACACATTTTTTAAAACGATAAGAATTCATCATTTTTATATGGAAAATGAATTTTTTTAATTAATATTAAGAATAATAATTTGACTGTATCATCTTAATAAATATAATGTTAAGTTTCTATCACTTATGTTATTGTTACAATAAATCATCTGAATCTTAAATGACATTACGAATTCTATCAAAATTGTTAGACTAACATTAAATCAATCACTATACCTATCTTGTTGAAGGTGAGGAATATTTTTATTATTATTATGGAACTTAATTAGAAGCCTTTAATGGCTGATTTCTTTAAGGTTAATACTCCAAAACAGTAACCTCTCTATCAAATTATCCATTCTAAAATTTATTATTTTAACATAAATTTACCATTGGAGCTACTGTTTAAACTAATTAAACTGGAATTTTTTAGCCTACAGGTGATTAATTGTTATTGTTAGTTTGAGGAGGTCTATTCAAATAAATAACAGGTAATTGTATAGGAGCAGATTATTAAATAATAGGTCGTTGGATTGGTTATTATTATAATATATTAGGTGGTGGAGGTGGTGGTGCTGGTGGTTGTTGTGGGACGACATAGATATTTTATATTGGTTATGCTGGAGGAGGAGGTGGAGGAGGTGGAGGAGGAGAAATTTAGGGTTGGTAATATTATTAGGATATTTTTATTGGATTAACTGGTGATATGGGAGTTGAAATAGGTAAAGGCTATTATTATTAAGGAGGTATTTAGGAAATAATTTATTATGGCTATGGAATCTGCTATGATTGCATTAGCAATCTTTATAGTAGTTGAGGCTACTAATTAACAATTTATTTAGGTTAAGGAGACACTGACTTTCTTAAATCTGGACTTTGAATTATTTGTTATTGTGATTAGGAAGGTCTTGGAATTACGACATGTTATTAAGGAGGAATTTACTGTTGTTATATATTTGAAGGTTATTGTTATGTTATGATCTATGATTATATAGGAATAGGTTATGGAATAATTTGTTAAGTAATTGTAGGTTATTAGATTTATATTGGTTATTGTTGTATATTGGGTTATTATAATTATTATTAAATTTATTATTGTAAAACAGTATCGTTTTATTGTTGTTGATATTAACTTTGTTATTAAATTTAAAGTTGTTAATATTTTAATAACTCTTATTGTTAGATTTATAATTATTATTATTTTAATTATTAGATTAATATTTATTATTTTTATTATTCTATAATTTATTGTTATTGTAGATATAATTTTTATTATTATTAATATTGAGTATTGTCAACTTATTAAGATTCATATAATATTTCTGATTACTTATATGAAGTTTCAATTATTGATTTTAACTTTAATTTAGACATATTATTTAAAGGAATTGCTAATTACTTTACATCTTCAAAATTAATTTAAAAGTCTTATAAATTAGTTATTCTTTCTGAATATGGTTTTAATAGGAAATAAACATCCTCTACTAATAGTTAATTATCAGTTTCTAACATTAGATGTTCCATAATTCGAACTAATTATTAAGAAAATCGATTATAACATAACATCTATAATTAAGCAATTTATTAATTATCAACCAAAACGGGTACATCAAGTAACATAAGATCAAGTATTATATGTCCTAAGGCAAATGAATCTATTTTATTCCAATTTATCTATGATTATGATGAGGTTATCAATTATTTCTTTAATGTAGGAGGAAGATAAGTCTATTAATTTTCAACAACAAACTTAGCAATTGAGTTTTTTTGATCTTACAAAACACCTATAGGACAAAGTTTAACTGTGCCATTTCGTTTTAATGCTATAGTTATTGGTCTTAAGTCTTTATGATTATAACCCTTTTATTTTAGTTCATAAAGTGCTTGTGACAAAGACCATAACAAATACCATATTTCCTTTTCTGAGAATTATTCTCGATTTTCTTTTCTCTCATTTATTTCTCTATCTTTAACATAATAAAATACTTATATAAAGTATGAGGAATATATTCATAATAACTGAATATAGTTGAGTAAGATGAACACATTTCTTAAGATTGTCTTTCTGCACTTCCATAATAATTGATAATGTATGGGGATTAAATTTGTTAAATCATAGATTAAGATTAATGCCAAAGTTCATCTGACTCTTAATCAAAGATTCGATTTGGATATTCAATGACCATCTCTTAATTTGCATCGCAAACATAAACTTGTCCATCAATCTTCTCTCCCTTCATCTCTAATGGTCGAAACTAACTCTTAAAAGTCTTAAAGAAAGAGGTAGAATTCATGTATGATTGAGCAGATGTTCCCATTTAATAAGCAAAATAAAAATTATTTCAATGTTTCTTAAATCTCTCTAATCTCTCCTAAGCAGTTAGTTCTTTAGCTTTATTTTTTCTTTTCTATTCCTTTTGCAATTTGCATGCAATTGTGTAGGCCACTGCAGGATCTTTAAAGTTCCAATTTTGCATTATTTTCTAATAAATAATCTATGATAATTGTTACTTTAGTATGTTCTCCAATAGTTGGTAGTGAATCTGTCTTGGTAGTTTTTTCACTGTATTTACTTTGTCCCATTTAAGTTTATGATTAAGTTCCTGATAAATGAGAAGTTCTCATCTAAGTTTCTACATTATTCTATGGTTTCTTAGTGCTAGAAGATGATTATTTAATTGGCTATTATTATTATTATTAAACTTTTTATTGTGCTTATTAAGTAATTTATTATTATAATAATTGATGTTAATTTTGGCTTTATTTGAAAATTTACTATAAGTCTAATCCTTAAGGAATTCTAAGGTCAAAATTAAGATCAATATCTTATTTTAAAAAATCATCATCAAAATCACCCATATCATCTAATTCACTATCTTCAAACTTAATATTTTTCATTCTATCTCTTAATCTTTTTCTTATAATGTATCCTCTCCAAAACTTCTAAATTCTAATAGCATATATATGCAATTTCTTTTTATTATTTTTCTATCTAAATTATTTTACTTTTGGTTAATTTCTTGCTAAATATCCTCTTATTAAGGATTAAACAATAATCAATTAATTTAATTTTGATTTATAATATTTTTATCTTTTTTTGTATTTGTAAATCCATTTAATTAATAAAGATTAAACCTTAAAAAGTGATTTCTGATATTTTAAATTAAAATCAGATATTTCTTTATCAACATCAATATTGATTTAAAAGTTGTTCTTAATGAATGTTAAATCATTTAAAATTTGAATAATCTTAAATCTCTCTGTATAAGTGAAAGGATGAATTTTAGTTATTTTCCTTTATTCTAATCCATTAATCTTATGCATTATTTGAGTATTGTTATTTAATTGATTGATTAATTTATTGAAACTTCTTTCCAATTCTAATTATTATGATCTTCTCTATGGAGGTTCTAAAAAACCATAAAATTTATCTTTTAAAAATTCTTAATCCTTTTTATTTAAAATGGCTTGATTGACTTCTATCAACTATGGGCAGTTAATAATTAACATGTATCGATACAATTAAAATACTTCCTAAAATAAGTTATAATTAATACTTCAGATAAACCAAGCAAAAATGGATTTTCAAGATAGTTGATTTATTTTAATTCATTACATCTTTATATAAAATTGATTATGGTACCAAAGGATTGAATTCTGTTACCAGATAAATCAATTTATTAAATATTAGGCATGTAAGAGATTGAATATTCGGTATCATAACAAGTCTATAATTGATTATCTTAAACTTATAAAATCTTATAAAATAATAGAATACCTATAATGAGGGTAAATAAACTATTCCATCTAATGATTCAAGTTTGTTCTTATTCAAATATAATTCATTCAATAACAGTAATCTCATTTCAGGTAAATGTTATATTTTATTTTTAGTAAGGATTAATTTACGTAAACATTAATTATTTTTTAAAGGGTTCTCATTCAATCCAATTTCTATTTAATTTGAACTTAAATCAAGAATTTCTAATATAAAACATTTTGATAAATTTCCTATATTCTTTAATTAATTTTTATATAAGTATAATTGCTTCAAGAATTCTAAATTTTCTAAATTAGTCATTTAATGAATTTTATTGCCTTTTAAAGAATAAACTTCTAAGAATATACAATTTGAAAGTTTACTCATTTCTTGAATATGATTCATTTCAAGACGTAGTATTCTTAAATTACTTAATTTACCTAATTGATGATATGATTGAATATTATTTTATTATAAATCCACTTCAATTAAATTATTTAATGCAGAAAGTGGAGTAAGATCATTAAGTTGATTGCAAGATAATATAACTTTTCTTATATCTTTCATTTCTTAAATTCCATCAAGTGTTGTTAAATTTTCAAGTTTTATTTCTAATTTTCTGGTAAATTTAGATACTTGATTATTTTGAATATATTATTGAAATAAGTTTAAGTTAGAATTATCATCTACAATACTAATGTTATCTAAATTAGTTTTAGGTTATTCATATTCAGTAAAAGGAGATCGATAAGGATTATATCTAGGAAATTTTGAGATTAACTTATTAATCCTAAACTATTAAATATATTTACATATTCATTAATTCTTGATGTAGATTATTCACTTTTTTCCAATAAATATCTTCAATACTATCACTCAATACTAATTACTATTGATTTTTTAAGAAATCTTAATAGACAATATTATATTTGAGTTCAGAGTCAATTTATTATAATTATTAGAGTTCTTTGTTTGGTTTTATTTCTAATTGTGTTTCAATATATTTCAATTTTTAAAACTTTATATTCTATAATCTTGTAAAAACTAACTCTTTTGTATTACTAGGAGCTAGATTCTCATCTACTAAATCTAATATTTAAGGTATTTAAATTGAAGGAGTTTTAAAAATAGGAATATTGAAATCTGGTATTTTGACAGTAAATGATATGGGTTTTAAGGCAGGAAACTCTTCAGGTAGATTATAGAGTCTATTTTTAAAGAGTTATTTTATCCAATAATCCTAATATTCTCTAGAATAATTGTCTTCAATTTCCATTAGCATCATCTCTCTTTATTGATGCATTTATTCTAATTTTTAATCTTATAGATTTTATTTATTAGGTTTTGTTTATTTAGCAGATGGAGCTCGAATTTAGTTTTTTGTTTATGTAAATGAAGTACTAGACTTTTATAATTCTTAGATTGGTGTAGGTTATTATTGCAGCAAGATTTCTTCATGTAATATGATTTTTTATTATGGTTATTCTTTGATTTAAGTAATAATCTCATTAGGTAATTAATCATTAAGTTCTACTTTAAGATGATCACCATTATAATCTTCAATTTCAATACATTAATTTCCTTGATTAATTTACTTCATCAATTAAATATCATTCTCAATCTTATCCAACATTTCTTCTCTCTACTTATTTTGATTCATAAACTCTAACCAAATTTTTGATTACTTATAATCATGAGTTTCATAATTATGTTATTCAAATATAAAACTTCGTTCAGTCTAATTATCATTGACTGACACTTAATCTAGATCTGCATAAAGTCTCTTTTTGATTTCCTCTTCATCCTCTGAATCATCTGAAAAACTCATTTAAATATATGTATCTATAATATATTAATTTATTTTAGAAAAAAAGGAAATGCATTCAAAGGGCAAACGAACTTTGGGTAAAATTATAAAATGAATTATTTTAGGGCCAATATAAAAAATTAATACTCCTTCCTTTGATTTTCAGTAAGCCACTAAAGAACATTAGGAAGTAGAAGAAAGAATTAAATAAGAAACCGAAACTCAAGATCCAAGGTATTATAACTAACATTTATTCAAGGAAATTTGTAATGAATCTATTGAACGATAGAGACAATTTATAACCCATAGATGGGACCTTAACTAATTCATAATTTATAATGAAGAAAAAGGTAATTCTAAAATATAAAATAAATTAATAGATAAACATAAGAACAAATAGATAGGTTAAAAGTTAAGTGCCTTTAATAAATGGTTAGATCAAGAATTTAACTTAACTTAATTTTAATTCTCCATCTCATACATTGAAATTTGATATGGATTCATAATTTAATTCTAAAAGGTCAAATTTTATTCCTAATTTTATCAATTCAGCTAGAAATTTTGATGTAGAAGTGAAAGGAACTTTAGGAGAAGAATTTACTGAATTTTAAATGTGTAATCTAATTAATTCAATTATTAGATGACGATGATTCATAACCAGAAGACATTCCAAAAAATAAAAACTTCTCTAATGGAGGTAGAATGGCAAATAAAAAATTAAAGGATTATGATTGTTGGGATGAAGATAAAACTCCTGAATAATGGATTGAATTATGTCGTAAAACAAATCCTCCACATGCCAAATGTCCACTTTTTGATCATTCAGATAGATATATTTGGACTGATGTTGAAGTTCTTAACTATTAAAATGGACGTTATGAAGTCAAAGTTTTGAGAAATAATAAAATTAAATAGATTGGAAGACTTTCTCTATTATTCTTTGCAGAAGACCCAATCAAATTTGAATAAAGAGTTGAATTATGTAAATAAAGATAAAGAAATGCTGATGATGAATATAGATTTCTTAAATATGTAGATTCTTTACCAGATTCAATGACATCTACTTTATCTACTGAAATGTAAAAGAAAATAGATGAATTCACAAATTTCAGAGAATTACCTTATTTAACAAAAGAAGATCCTAGTAAAACTGCTCCAGGATTTCCATAAATATAAACTTTGAAAGATGAATCAAAAACTATGATTACTGATCCAGAAATAAAAAGAAAGTAATTGTAAAATTTAGATCTACTCAAAAAAGATCTAGTTAAATAAGTAGAAAAAGAATATATTATGCTTATGAAGAAATGTTCTATTCTAAAAGATATGGAAATTAATAAAAATGATATTAAATGGATATAACTTAGAATCAGAAATAGATTTGAATAAACTAAAAAACCATTCTATGGATTATGCAAATAATTTGGAAGTGATACAAAAATCATTATTTATGAATCATAGGCACAATCAACTACATCATTTAATAAATTATAAGATATTTGGGCTTTTGTTCCTACAAGATCAATTATTTAATCATTGCATTATTCTAAATTGACTGTTGTTGTTAATACTCTTAATGCATTAACTGCAAGATCTCAATTATATCAAAATTTCCCTTTGTTAAATGTATTATTAAATCATTAATCACTTCCTATGACTTTATCCAATTTTGAAAGTCAATAAAAATAACATTAAGTTTAAGGTAGATAAACTTTATAAGTTTAATGGAGAAGTACCATTGTTGGTGATATACAAGATAAATTAAGAGAAAAATATAGATTCTATTAAACAGAAACTGAAGATTATTTAGATAGTGACTTATAAAAGTTACTTATTAGAATTGATTATATGTTTACAAATTATATTAGAGAGAATGTAGTCAAATAGAATTGTATAGCATGGGTTGATTTTATTAAAAAATTTACAACTCCAAAATAAGGAGAATATTGGAGAATTAATGATTATCCACTTATGATTCTTAATCTTGAAGTCAATCTTAATTTCAAAAAAAGTAAAAAAAATGAAAAAAAAGTCAAGTAAGATGATACTCCATTATTTGATGAAGATCCAATCAATGCTATATACTATTCTCCTAGTTTATAAGCTATTTAAAATGCTCTTTTGAAACCATTAGATCTATTATTAGAATCAGTTAATTCTTTTAATCGTTTAGAAAAAGATCTTGTTCCTTTAGTTGATATTGATTAAAAAAAAGAGGTTAAAGGAAGATTAAGAGCCTATGAAATAGAAAATGATTAAGATTAAATTTGGGTTAAATGGGCCAGAGATAAAATTTTGGAGTATATTGATATAGGTTTTAAGAAACCAAATGAAATGCTTTAACGTTTTAGAGAATTCAGTTTTCTTTTAGAAAAACCAGTTTCAAGTGTATTAAAGAGTCTATTTGGAGATATTTCTAAAAAACCTATCATTACTTCTTTAGATTAAGAAGAGATCTAAAAGAAATTGAATGATTTTATTAATGCTAAATTGTAAATACAAAGATTATGTTTAGATGAAAAAAATGAATAATTCTTTTAGATAAGAACTAGAATTGCTAAAGAAAATTTAATTTAAAAAGCAAATGAATTTGTATCATCTATTTTGAAATAATGTTCAGAAATAGTAACAGATAACATAAGTCGTCTTAGTATTGAGTATACTGATATGAGTGAAAGAATAACAAAGTAACCAAAGAATGAGGCAGAATTAGTTGAATTAAAGACCTACATTGCTGAACATGAAGTTAATTTAGCCAAAAAAAAACGAGAGGTTGATTGCTTATATGATTATTTGACAATCTTTGAAGAAATGAATCACACTTTTGAAGACAAAAATCTTTATGAATTTTGGTATTTGTATAGTTTCCCACCAGAAATTAAAAATCATGTTATTGAAGGATAGCGAAAAGCTAATCTCTAAGAGTAAAAGTTCATAGAAAATTTGGATAATGAAAAGGATAAATTTTAAGGGGAATTAAGAGAATTAGCTGATTTATATCTAACAGTTTAGAAATTTGAAGATTACACAAAAGCAAAAGAAAATGCTACTGAAGTGATGTTATTAAATGAAAGATTATAGAAAGCTAAGGAAAAAGTGGAATCCTTTAATGAAAGAGAAAGATTATTTAAATCACCAGAATCTGTATATGATGAATTAGAATAATTAATTAAGAACTTTACTATTTATTATAATTTATGGACTTATTTCATTGAATTTGAAATGGAAAAAGGTGATTGGTGTACTGGATCATTTTTAAAACTTAATTTTACTGAAATAGATTAAAAAGTAAGAACTAATTAAAGAAATGTAAATATTCTTATTAAAGCATTCTCAGATACAGGAGATGATACAGCTGTTGAAGTTGCTAGAAAACTAAAAAGCTAAATTGATGAGTTTAAGGAAAAGTTGTGGTTAATTGAATTACTTACTACAGAAGCAATGAAAATTAAACTGAATATGTGGAAGGATATTTGGAAGATTGTTGGATAACATGATTAAGAAACAAATGATGATTTATCATTAGATACACTTGTATTACATGGTTTAATGAATCATAGAAGTGACATTGAAGAAGTATCCAGAAGAGCAGAAAAACAATGGTAAATTGAAAAAAATCTTAATTTAATATAAGAAAAGTTAAAAGATTAAAAAGTTGAAATGATTCCATATAAGAAGACTGGAACATTTGTATTAAAGTCTCTTGAAGAAGTAGTTTAATGTTTTGATGATTAATTCAATATTTTATTGATGTTAAAAGCATAGCCATAAATAAAAGCAGTTTTACATAAGGCTTAAGCTTTAGAATATAAAATAGTATTGATTTAGGATACACTTGATGGATGGATAAAATGTTAAAGAGGCTGGATGTATCTAGAACCAATCTTTACATCAGATGATATAAAAAAGAAAATGCCTTAAGAAACATTAAAGTTTTAAAAAGTAGATTCTCATTGGAGAACTGTAATGGAATAATTTAGTAAAGAACCAAATTTATGGGATGGAGTGGATAGTGATAAGATGAAAAATGAATTTGATTAAGATAATAAGGCTTTGGATTAGATTTAGAAATCTCTTAGTGAATATTTAGAAACTAAACGTAATTCTTTTCCAAGATTTTACTTTTTGTCTGATGAAGAATTATTAGAAATTTTAGCATAGACTAAAGATCCTGAAACTGTACAAAAGCATATTAATAAATGTTTTGAAGCTATAAATTTATTGGAATTTGTTAATGGATAAGAAGTAGTAGCTATGATATCAGCTGAAAAAGAAAAGGTTCCTTTTTCTAAAGGCATAAATGTAAATGAGGGAGATAAGAAAGGAAATGTTGAAAAATGGTTATGTGAAATTGAAGCTGTGATGATAGATACTCTAAAAAAGATTATGAAAGCATCTCATTTAGATGTAGATACTAAAAGAGTGGTTTGGGTTAGAAAATGGCCAGCATAAATTGTATTAGCTGTCAATATGATCAGATGGACTCGAGGTAGTGAAACATCAATAAATGATAAAGATAATTCTCATGGAGGATTGGCAGGATTTTTACAGATATTATTAAATGAACTAAGAGATATAGTAGATTTAGTTAGATAAGATTTATCTCCTTTAGAAAGATTAACTTTGGGAGCTTTGGTTGTATTAGATGTTCATGCTAGAGATGTTATAAGATAGTTAGTTAAGATTGGTTGTAATGATATTAATAACTTTTAATGGATGGCTTAGTTAAGATATTATTGGACTGAATAATTGATGAAATGTAATGTTAAAATGATAAATGCTGATTTATTATATGGATATGAATATTTGGGTAATAGTATGAGATTGGTTATTACACCTTTGACAGACAGATGTTATCGTACTTTAATGGGAGCATTTCATTTATAATATGGAGGTGCACCAGAAGGTCCTGCAGGAACAGGTAAAACAGAAACAGTAAAAGATTTAGCTAAAGCATTAGCAGTATAATGTGTTGTTTTTAATTGTTCTGATGGTTTGAACTATTTAGCTATGAGTAAATT